GTGCCATTATTACTTGTTAAATAATTGGCAAAATATATTTGCACGATGCATATGGAATTCTAATGTAGGAAATACCTGACTCTGGATCTTTCCACATGCTGCAACAAAGTGTTTAGGGCCGGCAAGATATCCAAGTCGCCAACCAGTCATTGCAAAAGCCTACAGATACCACCTTCTAAATGTCAACCTTTAGAATCAAACCTACCACTTCAGGGTTTTTTTTCTTCTTTTTAACAGTTATCAAGATTTAACTCGGACGAGCCACCTTTACGCCAGAGGAGTATGAAATCAGCAAGGTGTTAGCCATATACTTACCTTAGAAAATCCATTGACTGTCAGAGTCCTCTCCCACATGCCCGGCAAAGATGCAAAGCTCGTGTGAGTTGCTGGTGTGTAAATTATGTGTTCATATATTTCATCAGAAATAACCTGAACAAAACAGTAACCGAAAATTCAGGATTCAAAATGTTAAGGTTGAGGTAATAAAGTACAGGTCTTTCAGTTCAGGTAGAGTGAGTGTACCAGAAGCCTGGGATGCCTTGCTACAATTTGAGCAATCTCCTGAAGCAATTTCTTGGGGTATACAGATCCTGTTGGGTTGGATGGAGAACAAAGAATCAGAAGTCTTGACTTTTCAGTGAGTTTGGATTCCAGAAGTTTTGGATCCAAGAGAAAATTGTCGGAGATGCTCGTGGGAAGAATTACAGGAGTTGCATCGGCCAACCTTGCCATTTCCGGGTAACTCACCCAAAATGGAGCTGGAATTATAACCTGGAGATACATGGTTTTTGGCAAATGTGAGTCACCTTCACAGGTACTCGCTACAATGCATTTATGACCACTAACAATAACACCTAAAAGCAACGAAGCAGAAAGGAAAAAAAAAAGCATTTCTTAATTATTGAACTGACACTTGGTTTCTTTCCACTCCACTAATACAGTTCGAATCTGAAATGAATGAAAATGATATAAACGAATCCATAAAATATATAAAGTCTAAAGTAGATTGTTGGAGTATTGGGTATAGAGCAATTGACCTCATCTCCTGGGGAACAAACTGCAAGCACTGCTTGAACAATACTCTGCTTGGCTCCATTGCTAACTACGATCTGATCAGGTGTGTAAGAGATCCCATTCTCCTCTACAAAAGCCTAACCGTTACTTACAACTCCAGATGTGAAATCATACACTACATATCATACATGAAAAACCCAGAAAGAAACAAAAAGGTACCTTTGAGCTTATGACAAATTGCTTGGCGAAGTTCCAAAGTCCCTGCATTTGGCGTGTACCTTGTGTAACCTTCACGAATTGCATTGATCCCAGCCTTTGAAAAGGAAAAAGAATTCAAAACAAACCATTATTGGCAATTGGCAATGCAACAAAATTCACAAATTAAGATGTCAATGTAAGAAGCTAAACAAGCAGCTACCTCAGCAATGACAGAAGGGGTATCGAAATCAGGTTCACCAGCCGCTAATCGGATAACGGGTACACCGGCTTGCACGAGAGCCGTGGCCTGGTCAGTAATGGCGACTGTCTTTGAAGGCTTGAGGGAGTTGACTCTTGGGCTCAGAGAGATGTCGACTTCCGTTATTTGGGTTTGGTCATTGCCACTCACTGCAACTGCCATCACCACTGCTCTTGATCTGCTCTTACTGTTGGTGAGCTTGAGAGGAAGCACGAGACTAGAGCGAGGGTGAGAAGGGAAACCTATGGATTTCGGGTCTGGACCCAAATCGGCTCCGGAAAATCGGGTTTGGGAACCGAGACGAGCAATGCTGGAGGAGGAGGAGGTCTGGAGGGAAAAGGCGGCCATGGGGGTTTGGTGAGGAGGAGGTGTTTTTGTTGGAGTTGGATTGTTCCTTTTGGGAATGGGTTAGGTGAATCAGAGGAATCTTGCATTTTAAATTTTTGCATTTTAAAGCAGAGGAAGGAGACAGAGTGAGATGGGGTCCTGGGGTTGGTGGGAAAAATGGATGGAATTGAGTATTGACTGTGACTTGAGGTTAGGTTGTGCAAGGTGTTGGTAGATGGTATATTTAGGTCATTTAAGTTACAAATTGTCGTAAGGGTTTGGATGGAGCTGAAGTAATTGAGCACAAACTCTATCCCTATCCCTATCCCTAATATCAATTTCTCATCTTCAATTCCTGAGTTTTAGTTAGAGTCATGTGCTTGAATTCCTATCCCTAATATTCTTTGTATGAAACGATAATCTAAACAACTCTAATCGATAGACACGAGAATTCGAACTTGAGTGTAAAAAATCGGGCTAACTATTGTGGCCAATTCGCTTAACTCACGTTTGCACATGAAGAGCTTGGTTGGTGTAGAAAAAAAAAAAGTAAGTTTAAGTTCAAATAGTAAGTATGAAAGTAAATGTTTAATACTGAAATGATAAACTCTCTAGGTCAGGTGATTTAATTTTGATCTTGTATTTTGTTAAGTACGAATTTTTATTAATTAGACTAGGCAACCATATAATTATGTAGATCCATCCTGAAGGGTAATTGTCATGCTGACAAACATGACTATAATTCAACAGCACATGCCTACCTAATTTCGGCAGTGGTGGGTGTGCAAGGTGAGCACAAAAATTCAAGCAGGCAGTGGGTGGGTGTGCAAGGTGAGTACAAAAATTCAAGCAGGCAGTGGGGTGGGTGTGCAAGGGTGTGACTAGTTAAGATGTTCTTCTCTTTTTTAATTTGGGATGAGTCCAACTAGTCAAGAATCAATATTAAACCTCGACCTTTGTTTTTCAGATTATTAAAATATTAAAATAAAAAAACAACGACCTTGGTTATATGTTGTTTTGAGATACGCGAAATGACTTGCACACTTAAGACATGTTTTCAATTTTTATAACAAAATATTTCATCTTGAAAATGTGTTGCAACTTGCAAGGTGTGCTTGAAAATGTGTTGCAACTTGCAAGGTGGTGGCACATGTGGGAATTTATTTATTTATTTTTAAAGTTCAATAAAATACTAAAAATAACAAAAACATATTGATGGCATGTTTACTAATCCATAATTGGATTATAAGGAATTGAATTGAGGATGAATTGGATTGACGAGGAGTTGGATTGAGAAGGATTAGATTTCGAATTCCTATTGAAGTTGTTTACTAAACCATATGGATTATTTATTTTTAAACTTGCAAGGTGCTTGCCCCTGCTATGTGCTTGGTTGCCCCTACTATTTTTCAATTAATTGAATTTGTATTAATTGATCATATTGTTGATTAATTGGGATTGAAATTGTGGTCTCATTGCATTTTGGGAGTTGTCAGGTTGATGATGTGGCAAAGATAGAGCTAATGGAGAGGATCCTAAAACATGTGCAGAAGCTGTTGAGGTTATGACTCCTGAGAGTGATTCCAATAATATTGTTGATTTGGAAAGTGATACTCAAGGTTTTGAGAGTTGTCAAGTTGATGATGTTTCACCAAGCTCTAGTTGTCCAAAGAGAAGAAATCAAAAACTTTCTTATATTCCCCCCACCCAAAAAAAGAGGTACAACTAATGTTCTTGCTGATTCAGTGGCTAAAATGGCTTCATCTTTGGAACACTTTATCAATTCTACTACACAAAAGCTTGATCCAACAGAAGTATATAACGAAATCATTGCAATTCCAGATCTTAGTCTAGATGAACAACTATGAGGTTATGACTCCTGAGAGTGATTCCAATAATATTGTTGATTTGGAAAGTGATACTCAAGGTTTTGAGAGTTGTCAAGTTGATGATGTTTCACCAAGCTCTAGTTGTCCAAAGAGAAGAAATCAAAAACTTTCTTATATTCCCCCCACCCAAAAAAAGAGGTACAACTAATGTTCTTGCTGATTCAGTGGCTAAAATGGCTTCATCTTTGGAACACTTTATCAATTCTACTACACAAAAGCTTGATCCAACAGAAGTATATAACGAAATCATTGCAATTCCATATCTTAGTCTAGATGAACAACTAAAGGCATGCTCTTGGTTTATAGAAAATGAGAAACAGTTTCTCATGTTAAAGACAATTCCAACTGAGAGAAAGAAGGGAATGGTGTTGATGTTTATTTCACCAAGAGTGTAGACACATTTTATATTCAGTTGACATCTTTAATTTTTGCTATTTTGTTGAAACATTGGTTAGGATGATTAGCTTCATTTTTTTTAATTACGTGTTTATGCTTTTTTAAATTAGACAAGCTACAGTTGCAATTTTTTACATTAGTAACAATTGAGGTATGTGCTGTTAGACAATTTTCGTACTACACAAGTCTTTCTAATTATATATATAATAATAATGTGTTGAACTATGCTAATTATTCCACTCCATATTTTATATACAAGACTGTTGTAAAAAAGAATGTTGTTACTTCTACGTAAATTCTAATTCTGTGATGACTATCCAAACAGGTGAAATTGTAATTTATGTCATTTCTTAAATTCCGCATATATGACATCCAAACGCTGAAATTTGCAACCGATGCAATTTTTAAATGATGTAATTGGAAATTCTGTCATTTACAATTTCCATGAAAATTAGAATTACTTCATCCAAACACACTGTAAGGGTGTAAGTACATAATACTAAATTGAAAAAACCCAAAAAAAGGGTATAAGAAAGAAGCATAATGGAGCAAAATCTAGATGACCAAGACTAGAACCAAGGAGTGGGATAGCCCCAAAAGAAGGTAATAAGTTGAAACCATAGCACATAAATAATGCATATCTCGTTATACCCCAAACACAACCTCATTGATAGAGCCAAGTGAGATTTCAAATGAGTCACCACCAAGAAACTAAAGTAACCAAGGCTCTGGCTTAATAACGTTAGACTGTGATGCAAAAAATCATTCTTCATTGTTGCTACAAAACAGAGTGAAGGTTCTTATTCTATCAAAGAGGGAGAGATTTAGATCAAGATCTCAACCAAGTACAATTCCAAGGTTGCTATAAACTAGTAGTATATAAACTTCTCTGAAAATACATCAAAACACCTACAACAATGGAGAGAAGGAACAACGCGACACCTCGTCTAGAAAACCCGAATTCAGTCCACGTCAAGGGCTTCGTGACGATAACTAAGATACTGCGAAACTGTTCTCTTAAATCCTTTAGTGAACCAGTATTATCAATCACTAGGTCTGCCTTGGTCTTTTTCAAATCAAGTGACATCTGAGCATTTATTTTGTTCTGAGCATCATCCTCACTTGTACTGTCCCTCAACATGAGTCTCTGGAGCTGTGTTTCAGAATCAACCCATACCAAAACAATGGGCTTTGTCCATTTGTCCATCTTGGCCTCGAACAATAGAGGGACATCAACAACAATAATCTTAAACCCCTCCATCCATAGCTTCAAAACTTCCCAAAAGATTCCAAACCATATGTAAGGAGCCAGCACTCTACAAAAATATTAAAACTAGACTTTGAAACTGATATGACATGGAACTTGTGTTATAAACTAATCCAACACAGGATCTCTGATAAGGCATTACCATTACCAGGAATATTATAACAAAATCTAGGCAATTTTGACTAATGGAATTTTAACTTGGACAAGTCAATACTTGGTGAGTATTACAGGACCTGAATTATATAAATTTAAAACCATAAGTGGGAACCCAGCATTCACAGATTGACAATGAGTGAGTCTTTTTGTATTCAATGGTGACTAGATTTGTAAAAGATTATGATTTACTCAACTGCACCAGGGATAATGTTGAATTAGGAAGTAAAATCATACAGCTAATAGTATTACTAAGTGATAATCTCAATTCAAACACAAAAGAAAAATGGAACTATCTGCAAAAGGGTAAGTACCGATTCAGAAGTTTGCGCTTTTCGGGATTAGAGAATATAATTTGGCCTAGTTTAGGCCTATCAACTTCTCGATCAGGTTGTAAAATGTCATCTCCAAATGCTGAAACAACCTTTTTCCAGCCAGTATTGCCCTTCTTTAATACATCCTGAAATATCCTCTGTCAATGAACTA